AAACATTTGGTGGAAAGGGGAAGCTGCGCCGCTGATGTCCCGCATGAAACACAGGAGACATATCAACAGCGGAAAGGCCAAGCGGGAGAAATGGGCGAGCAGATGGAGTGGTAACATCGACTAGAAGCGGGCAGTGCAAATCCGAGAATCAGTAGTTACCCTAAGCCGGCCGAGAGATATGTTGCTACGAATCCACTGCCTCAACCTGCAAGTCGGGGAGAAGCTCGAATTTCTCAACAGCAAACCAGTCTACCCCCACTGTAGGGGCTTTGAGACGTTGGAACACTGCCTTTTTGAGTGCCTGAAAACCTAGGTGATGGTTTCGGTTGTAAAAATGGCCCTACGCATGATCAATCCAGCCAGGCACAATGAGTCGCTCGGTGACTGGTGTTCGGGAAAGCGGAATCCTTGTCAGCATTCCCAGAGGCGTCGCTGATAGCTATTGCCCTTCATCAGCTATGGGCGGAATTTAGGGGCTGTAAATTCCGTACAAGGAGATTTCTGCGGATGATTGAGTAAGCCCTACGCATGCATGTGAATATTTACGTGCGTGCCTCGACGGTGAGAATGCAGCAGCGAGGGAAGCATCAACAGGCCAGGTGGCACAAAATGACAGAACAAGAGCAGCGTCTTCTGAACCGCATCAGGGTGGTGGAAGGCAAAAGCTGGAGGTGGTCGAACATTTTCGCAGCCATTTGGGGCAAGCCACGCAGACCCCCGATCCACGTCTGAGGATCGAATATTATGAGGCAGGTCTTCCTGTCTCTTTCGCACATGTACGACTGTTAATGCGTTGTAAACTTATCTTAGTGTATAGCTAATATAAGGAAAAAACAAAGTGCTTGTAGGCTGTAGTGGGGCACTCTCCAATGGGTATGACACTTTTAGGGTTTGTAGTTGTACCCCATCCTTGCTAGAAAACTTCGTTCCGCTTGATTCCAACAGATACCATGTCAAGAACTTGAGGACAACTGAATGAAGTCCACTAGCAAGGAGGGGGTACTAGTACAAACCTTAAAAGAGTCATACCCCTTAGAGAGTGTTCCATTACAAACTACAAGCATATAATTAGATTGCCACCGCTCGTACGAAATTTGCGCACGAAAGGTGTTTTTTGTTATGCCATATTTAGTCGTCCACCCAAAATAACAGATTGATAGTTGTTAAATAAGTGTACCCAGGACTTAAAAATCCATGCCAATAGTTTGTTTACCGTAGCAATTTCGGCTATAATTTGATATGTTGTACGTAAATAAGAGTTACATTTCAAGAACGTACTAAGTTGTTCAGTTACAATAGCAAGTGACGCTTTAGTGAGTTACGCTTCACTAAAAATGATGACGTCAGAGACCAGAGCTTACTACAGCGAAAGGGTACAGTCCGTTTACATCATTGAACATGTACATTAGAGAATAGGTATATTTGCCTAGCTATAGAACCATTGTAATGCTTACTTTAATTCAATGTATTATTCAATATTTCTACACATATAAGTCTACACAATCCAAGAGTGTTACGATCCTTGAACTGATATTAGAGGATTAATTCTATCATGGTATGAGAGCTACTTGGATTTATTTGACCTCTGCACTACATCTACAACTATGACTCCGCCACCCACTACAGCAGCAACAAGTTCTTAATCGCCTCACTCACCTGCACAAGTGCACCGAGGAGTGCAGCAGCAGGACCAAGGTTTAATAATAAGAAATATGATTAGCATCAGCAAAAATCAAGACTACAACACCATTCGACAGAAAAGACTTCTATACCTGGAGTTTTAAGTTCGAGCTCCTCATCCACTCAGCCAGCATATGGCACCTTTTCAATGGCTCAACGCCAGATCCTGCCATTGGTACACCGGCTCAGCAGCAGAAACACAAAAGTGAGTCACTGACTGCTTACACAGTATTAATACGTAGAATTACTCAAGCGGAGCAGCTTGGAATCCGTTCATTTGCTACCGTCAACGCATAAGCAGAAGCCGCTTTGACCTACCTGCAGAGCCTCAATATGGGGAAAGATGCAGTCACACAGAGCAGGATTTTACAACAACTCATGACATTACAGATGCATCCAGGAAAAAAGGCATCGAGCTACATCAACAGAAGTAGGGATCTACGGGATCAACTACTAAAGTGTGGAGAGGATTTACCTCGGGGCATGCTCGTTACAATCCTACTCGCTGGACTCGAACTAGATTGGAGACAGTGCACAACAGCTTATTTGAAGGAAATCTTTGTGCTGCACTTCCGGCGGAGCAACAAGATATGGACCTGCATGAAGAACGAGTCAAGCAAATTGGAATAACTTCGCATGATAAAGAACAGCAGCAACACGTTCTCACCTTCTACACAAAGTCCAAGAACTTCCGCAAACACTGCAACAAATATGGACATACTACAGGGAAGTGTTACAAGCAGCAGTCTCATCAACAGCAAGTTCAACACGAGCAGCAGACTTATCAGCAGGAACAACAGCTGCAGCAGCTTCAACAACAGCAGCAACCAGATCTTCAACAGCAGCTGCTACAGGTTTAACTACAACTTCAACAACTTCAAGAAATGAATCAGCAACAGCAGCAGCCCTGAACTTCAACAGATCCTGCAAAGGCAACAACACACAGAAACGTGCTTAACTGCTTGACAACAGTGAACCACACAGTTTCACAGACTTATACAGCAAAAGAAGACTCACCTTCTTCTACGTGGTTTCTTGACACGCGCTGTGGACAGCACACTTCTTTGGTTGATAATTCACTGGTCTTCAACAAGAGAGTTCTGTAGGAGCCCTATCTCATCACCCATGGACAGCCATGGACGCAGAGATGGCATCCTGGAAGTCCACAGGCACTTACGTCAATGCAGTTCCCCCTCCTGGGGCGAACATAGTCGATGGCATGTGGATCTTCAGGGTGAAGCGGCCGCCAGGTTCTCCGCCTGTCTTCAAGGCTCGTTACGTTGCTCGAGGCTTCAGTCAGCGACAGGGAGTTGACTTCTTCCATACCTTCTCCCCTACCCCGAAGATGACCACTCTTCGAGTGCTGCTGCACGTTGCCGTTCAGGATGACTACGAGCTTCACTCTCTTGACTTCAGCACAGCCTTCTTACAGGGCAGCCTGCACGACGAGATCTGGCTGCGCCGCCCACCTGGCTTCACTGGGTCATTTCCTGCTGGTACCCAGTAGAGCCTCCGGCGGCCGGTGGCCTCGTGAGTGGCACGACACACTAAGGACGACACTTGCGGCTCTTGGGTTTGCTCCTTCGACTGCTGACCCGTCGCTGTTTCTGCGCACCGACACTTCACTGCCGCCGTTCTACATCCTCGTGTACATCGACGACTTGGTTTTTGCCACTGCTGACACTGGCCCTTGTGAAGTCGGCGCTGCAGAAGAGACAGACGTGCACAGACCTGGGTGAGCTGCGCAGCTATCTTGGCTTGCAGATCACCCGGGACAGAGCACGGCGCACCATCACCCTGACTCAGTCACACATGGTGCAGCATGTCCTTCAGCGCTTCGGCTTCCAGTTCTCCTCACCACAGTCCACTCCTCTGCCTACCGGTCACTCGCTCCCAGCTCCACCTTCGGACGAGTCCGTAAAGCTGAGTGGCCCGTATCCAGACCTTGTGGGCCGCCTCAAGTACCTGATGACTTGCACTCGTCCTGACCTTGCGTACCCTCTTAGCATCCTGGCTCGCTACGTTGCGCCCGGGAGACACCGGCGAGAGCACTGGGAGGCTGCTAAGAGGGTACTGCGCTACTTGTGCAGTACATCGGGCATGGGGCTGGTGCTTGGAGGACGGGGTGACGTTGTCCTCACTGGACACTCAGACGCCTCTTGGGTTGACGACCTGGCTACGCAACGGTCGTCACAGGGTTACACCTTCAGCCTTGGTTCCGGCTCTGTCTCTTGGCGGTCTACTCGCTCGTCTTCTGTTCTCAGCTCCAGTTGTGAGGTTGAGATCTACGCAGGAGCCATGGCTGCACAGGAGTTACGCTGGCTCACCTACCTGCTGACTGACTTGGGAGAGCGGCCTAGTTCTCCTCCAGTTTTGTACGTAGACAACAAGGCCGCCATCGCCTTGTGTCAGGAGCACAGACTGGAGCACAGAACGAAGCACATCGCTCTGCGTTACTTCCTTGCTCGAGAGTTGCAGCAGCGTGGCCAGCTTCGTCTTGCTTACGTGGCCATTCGGGCCAACACTGCTGATATATTGACCAAGGCACTTCCGTCTGGTGATCATCAGCGTCTCTACCTGCTTTAGGCCTCGTGCCTACGTTTTCTCACTTGCTCACTGCATGACTTCGTTTGTATTGGGATCTACATATATACCTGCATGCTTACACTTGCTAGGTGGTGATCACTGTACTGTTTGCTTTGTTTTATATAACTCTGCATGTGAACTGGCCTTGTGGCCATTTGCTTGTGCTCGGAATGTGTGGTGACTTCGTGATCCACCCTGAGCTTGTTTTGCTTTTCTTGACTGGTCTTGTGACCACTTGTTCTCCCCCACTTTGCCTATGAGGGTGTGTCAAAACATGTTAATGTTTATATTGGTTAGACTGTAGTGGGGTAGCCTATAAGGGGTACAACCCATTTAGTGTTAGTACTTGTACTCTGTTTCTGTACAATGCATTCATTCCTGCTTACAAACACATGAGTAAGAGGGGGAGTTGGGGTGTGTGTCGGGAATGAAAGTGTTGTATTGACAAAGACAAAATTTGTTGGGGTACATTAACCTAACCCTAAGAGTTGTACCCCTTCTGACACACGTCACTAAGACTACAACATTTAACACACCCCCATAGTCTAAGTGAGGGGTGTCAAGCAAAACCAAAAGTGTACGGTCACAAGACCAGTTACAAAAAAACAAAGCTTAGGGTGGATCACAATGTCACCACACACTCTGAGCACAAGCAAAAGAGCCACAAGGCCAGTCCAAGAGTTCACAAAGATATTAGTAAAGGTGTACAAGAAAAGCAAGCAGAGAACTCAAGTCTACACACGACGAGAACCTGTGTCAACAAGGCCTAACTGCACACAACACCTCTGGTGGTCACAAGGCGGAAGCGCCTTGGTGAAGATGTCTGCAATGTTGGCCTCGGACTCCACAAACTCGAAGCGAGCCTGTCCACGTCTCTGCAACTCTCGCAGAAGAAAGTACCTGACGTTAATGTGCTTCACTCTGCTCTCCAGTCGCGGCTCTCCGCAGAGGAGAATCGACGCCTTGTTGTCAGTCAAAAAGTTCGGTGCAGAGCTCGGCCGCTCACCAAGGTCAGCGAGCAAGAAGGTCAACCAGCGCAGCTCCTGTGCCGCCATGGCACCAGCGTAGATCTCAGCCTCAGTTGTAGAGGTCGAGACCGAGGAGGAATGCGTAGACCTCCACAAAACAGCTCCAGAACCTAGACTGAAGCAGTACCCCTGAGTAGACCTGTGAGTCTCAGCGTCGTCAGCGTAAGAAGAGTCACAGTGACCAGTAAGTACGACAGACTGCTGCCCTCCAAGAACCAGCCCCACGCCTGATGTCGTCGCTAGGTACTTCGCCACCCTCACAGCTGCTGTCCAGTGAACAGGACGGTGTCTCCCTGGCGCAACAAAGCGAGCAAGGATGCTGAGAGGGAAGGCGAGGTCCGGGCGAGTACAAGTCATCAGGTACATGAGGCAGCCCACCAGCTCTGCGTAGGGAAAAGGGTCAGAAAAGGGTCCAGTGAGTCTGTGGTCAACAGCAAGAGGTGTGCGCTGTACTGTGGAGTGCTGAAGCTCGAACCGCTGAAGGACCTGCTGCACCATGTGTGACTGTGAGAGTGTAATGGTGCGAGCGGCTCTGTCCCTGGTGATCTGCAGGCCAAGGTAGTGGCGCAGCTCACCTAGGTCAGTGCACGTGTGTCTCTTCTGCAGTTCGGACTTCACGTCTACTAAGGCAACCCTGTCAGCAGTGGCGAAAGCAAGGTCCTCGACGTAGACCAGAACAAAGAACGGTGTGGAGCCACGACGAACGAACAGCGACGAGTCGGTAGAAGACGGCTGGAAACCAAGGTCAGACAGGGTAGAACGAAGGGTGTCGTGCCACTCACGAGGAGCCTGACGGAGACCGTAGACTGGTCGCCTCAGCCTCCACTGGGTCCCAAGAGGGAAAGTGCCAGTGAAGGCAGAGGGACGACGCAGCCAGACCTCCTCGTGTAGGCTACCCTGAAGGAAAGCAATGGAAAGGTCGAGAGAGTGGAACTACGTGCTGCTACGTGTAGTAACACCCGAAGAGTGGTCATCTTTGGGGTAGGCGCGAAGGTCTGAAAGAAGTCAACTTCCTCGCCGTGACTGAAACCTCTAGCCACGTAACGCGCCTTGAAGACCGGAGGAGATCCCGGTGGCCGCTACATCCTGTAGATCCACATGCCATCGACTACGTTCGCCCCCAGGGGGGGGAACCTCGTCGACGTAGGTGCCTGTGGATCTGTAGGAGGCCATCTCTGCGTCCATGGCAGCTCTCCACTGAGAGGCCCAAGGCCCTGACACTGCCTCAGCGTAAGTGCGAGGAGTCGGTATGTCAAGGGCGTCGGGGTCTCCCTCAGGGGCGAGCAGCATGGCACAGAGATGAGGGGAAGCGGCTGCCAGGAACTCTAGCTCAAACTGCCTGTCCTCTAGGGCGTCACAGCCAAGGGCAAACTCACCCCCGACCGCCAGAGGACTGGTAGGAGGAGCAGTCACAAAACTGGTGGCGTAGTCAAGGCGGCAAGTAGAGACAAACTCAGTGACTGCTGCAGTAAGAGCGGAGACAGAGGACAGAGAGGCACGAGGGTCGGTAACAAGAGAGGCGAGAACAGGACGGTACGTGCGGTAGTAGTCTGTGACAGGAGTAGAGAGGGAAGCAGTGAGGGCTGACTCAGGAGGAGAAGGAAGCACAGACGGAGACGAACGAGGCGGACTAGGACGGAACAGGACAGTACGAAGGTCAGTGAGAGGGACAGGGGACGAGGGACGAGCGTGAGGAGAGCGACGAGAGGGCGAAGCGTGCGAAGGAGGAGACGACGGAGGGAACGAGTGAGAACAGCTGGGGAGGAGTCAGGAGGAGGAAAAGTGGGACCGTAGATAGGAGGAGAGGGGTTGGAGGAAGGAGAGCGAGAGGGGAGACCGAGGGTCCGAAGACCAGAGACAGGAGGAGGAGGTGGCGGCTGCTGCTGCTCCTGCGGGTGTTGCTGCTACTGCTGCTGCTGCTGCTGCTGCTGCCGCTGCCCACCGGGGCCAGTGTGAATTGTGTAGAGACAGGAGCCCGGCAGCAGTAAAGGTGGCAAGAGGCGCGTAAGAGTCCTTGTCAACACAAACCGCGGTCTCGCCAGAGGGCTCAATCCACACACCCACGTGCTGACTCACGAGAGGCCTCACGCCCACCAAGTTCCTCGAGAACGAGGGGACGTGGAAGCCGGTCAGAGACCCGAAGAAAACAGCTGGGCATAAAAGAGTAGTAGTGTAGCGAGCAGTGACTATTCCCGAAGTGGGATCAGCCAGTGCTACAGAGACCGGTGCAGGAAGCGGTGTGAGCGTCGTATGGTCGCGGAAGAAACAGTGCGAGGCTCCAGAGTCCAGAGTGACAGCGAAGCATCCTCCGAAGCAGCTCCTGGACTAGTGTCTACACAAGTACCTACACTAGCAACAGGCACCTCAGCAAGACTAGCACCTAAGCTAACAACACTCGAGTAAACAGAGTCAGAAGCACTAGAGTCAACAACAGCATACAAAGCATGAGGAGTCCCTAAGAGATCAACCAACTGAAAAGCCGACATGCCCTACAGAGCGGGGCCGTACGTCTGAACAAGAGGAAGCCAGTCAGGGGCAGGGCCGTCAACGCCGTAGGCCAAACGAACCGTGTGAGTAAGCTGGGCAAAGCACTGACCTGGAGGGTGGGTGCGGCCACAAGGCTGGCCTCGGCGAGCAAGCATTTGTCAAAACGTGATAGGTGCACGGAGGGTGAAGAACATCTCGCTGGAGGTGACGCTGTCCAAACCCCGAAACTGGCTGCTGCCGCTGCTGCTTCGGGGGTTGCTGCGAGGGGAGGGGCTGCTGCTGCTGCAGCTGCTGCTGCCGCTAAGTCAGGTACCACGCCGATGCTCCACCCACTGCGGCCGGCAGACCATGTTGGTGTAAGGGCCTAATAAACTCAAGCTATTAGGACTTAATCAAACTTAAAACCTCTCCTCGGGGTCACCTCCAAGGGTCCCTGGGTGCCTGGTACAAGACCAGCCCCTATCCTCGGGTCCGAGTTTGTAGAGAGAGGGATCAAGAAGGACTTAGTCAAAACAGCAAGAGTACCTTGAACGTCGCGCAGCGTGCCGTGCAGACCGTCGGTCGGATTAAGCTGAGAATTCGCTATATCGAAGCTCGCTCCAAGAGCTTTAAAATGAGCCAAGTTGCCTCGCGAAAAGTTCTGCCATTGCGAAGTTATGGCTCGGACAGCGTTTGCCTAGCGTTGGAGTGCTAGCATACTAGCGTTGACTCGGGTAGCATTCCGCCGTCGAATAGCGCAGAAACGAAATTCCAGCGAGGAAGGAATTCGCTTGAATCAATTTGACTATATTCAGGTACAAACAGAGAAGGATTAAATAGTTCTAGCTAGCAAGGACCTTGGGAATCAACCTGGGAACAACCAGGGATGATCCCAAATAATTCCAAGCAACAGAACCAACCTGGCTGGACAAAATAGCAGGTGGTAGGTTGGTAAACAACCTCTGGTTCTGTTTTTCCAACCTGGGAAAACAACAACTAGGTTCAGGTTCTAAAAACAGAACCTGTTTTGTCTTTGCCCAACCAGCCAAATGCTGGTTCCGCTGGTTTCCCCTGGCCTTGTAGCATGCAGATACAGACAAACAACATCCAACCTTCACCTAAATTGTACCCCTATAGTGCCTTCCCTGCTACACTATAGTTAACCAAACAAAACAGTACAATTTCGAGTTGGATAGAACTGAATCTGCGCAATCAACTCAACCGAACTGCAAAGCTTCCATCTTGGGTTCCTTTGCGAGCTCGTCCTTCCTGCTTGCACTGTTCATAGCGCATACAATGTTGTGCCAAAGCGCACATTGCGCGAGTACCTGCAAATGCATCAAGCGAAAAATGCGAAAGCAAACAAACACACGAACACACCATTCACACGCAAATGCATTCGCACACGCATACTCGTACAAACAGACGGCAGGATGTCGTGCAATGTGCATTTGCACCCAACAGACCAGGAGGTGACTGACGAACCCGGGTGTCGCCTCCACCAGGTGGAGCAGAGGAGTCACTAGCCGCTGCACGAGACGCCTCTCCAGGCCCTGCATTCCCACTGGCACCGGTCACCACGCCACCCCCACCACCTCCGCCGCCACCGCCGCCTCCACCCACACCCTGACCGCCCCTCTTGCCACCCCGACCTCGAGACCGCAAAGAAGTCATAACAGCAGCTGCGGCCACGTCAGTAGCGGCAGTGTCGAGAGAGGCAGTAAAGGTGGGCAGCTGAGGGATTGTGCACCCATGGAACAGCACCAGAGGCGGAGGCTACGGAGCGGAGGTTGCTCTCGACGTCCTTGAGCGCAGACTCAAGGACCTCGATAGTGAGCTCACTAGGGTGCTTCAGAAGAAGCGCGTCACGAACCGAGGCATTGCGGTCAGGGAGGCTAGTGGCGATGAAATAAATAGTAATCGCCATGGGGGGAGGAAGCAGTGCAAGTTGTGTGTCAGTGCAAGCAGCGCGGTAGCTAGAATCGAGCGAGCGGAGGTGAGCAATCAAGTCAGCAGAGCGCTCAAACGAGGCGAGGTCAGGAAACAGGAACGGAAGGAACAGGCGACCAAGAGAGACAGTGGTGGGAGTGGAGTAGCGGGCCTTAATCGCAGTCAGGAACTCACTAGCAGTGCGAACCTGAGTGAAGTGGGCCTCCTCAGACTCAGGGAGGAGGCTGCTAAGAGCGATGCAGGCCGCAGCGTCACGCGACGACCACGCGGTCAAGTCAGCATGCTCGCGTGCATAACGTTCGCTGTCTGCAGAGAAGCAGTCAGCTGCTAAGGGTGCAGGGTCCGCTGGCCTATGAAGTTCGCCGGAAGCGTGCGCCCACAAAGTCTCGCCCGCCTAAACCTGACTCTCTAGGGGGCAGCGCGCACGCAGAAGCCAGACGGAAAGCTCAAGTGGCCTACCGTCTGTGTCAAAACGGAGGACCCTAGGGGTCGCCATAGTGAGAGCGAATAGGTGCTGAAACCTTGGTGGCGAAACCCTAAACGCCTAAAGGGCTTGCGTAGGGCGTGGCAGAGAGTGCGCCGCGACTGGCAGCGACACGACTGGCAGGGACGGGCGCGACAGGCGCTGACGGGCGTGCAAGGCGTACGGGGCGCGACGGACGGGCAGGGCAGATCGGGGGCGCGACGGACGAGAAACACGCTGACAGCAAGCACGCTGACGGGAACGCTACGGGACGGGCAGCGACGGGCGCGACGCGGCGGACAGGCACGACGTGATGGACGGGACAGACGGGACGGGCGTGACGCGGCACACTGGCGCGACGCGACGGATAGAACGGGGCAGGCGCAGCGGGCAGTAGGGTACGAGACGAGCGTGACTAACTGAAGAGTTCATGATAGGCTCGAGCACTACGGGCATGAACGAGAGGAACGGGATCCCACGGGATCCTAACCTAGGTGATACCATGTGAGGAATGAAGGTGTTGTATCGACAATGTTGGTTGGGGTACATAAACCTAACCCTAAGAGTTGTACCCCCTATGACACACATCACTAAGACTACAACATTTGACAGTGTGGAGCATCTCACACGTTGGAGTGGGAGGCATAAGTTCATTCTTCAGTTTTCATTATCATTTACACGACAGTCAGGTGCCAGGGGAAAGACCTACGGTTAACATTGGACAAGACAAGGAGTCACAGCTGCCGTCATGTGCCAGCAGCAGCTGCTGCAATCGGTCAGCACTTGTTGCAGTGCTCCAGCAGCTGCTGTCCGTGAGCATCTGTTGATACAAGTGGACCTGCTGGGTTCAGGGGGAGTGAAACACCACAGCATGGGTAAGGCGTTAATATCATACAGTGGTGCATGGAGGATTACAGAGTTATGAGCAATAGAGGTGTGAAGGGCAGAAGTGTACTAGGACGTGCAGGAGCTGCATGAGATGTTGCCCCCAGTCTGCCAGCTTAACATAGGGCGGCTGATGCTGGTTGTGCAGGTTGACAGCTGCTGTTGTTGCAGGCCGCCAGGTGCTGGTACATGGCAGCCGTCCGTCACTAGCTCGTGGGGAGCCTAGCTACTGGTGCTGCAGGGCGTCAGGGGGAGCTGCAAACAGCCAGGTGGTGCTGCTGCCGCCGTGTGATGCTACAGGACGTCAGAGGGAACTGACGACAGCCAGGTACTGCTGCTGCCGCCAATTACTCCTGTAGACCGCCAGCAACCAAGCATCGCTGGCCGCTGCAGCAGTCCGCCATCTGCAAGTGGTGACAAAACACACATGGGAGAGGAACGGTACAATACGGGGAAGTTGTTCACGCACTGCAAGTTTGTCATCAGGAGCTACAGTCGTGCGTCACCGGCTGCCATAGGCGCCGCT